TACGATTGTAAACGATTATAATTTGAATATATATAATTATATTAATATAACTTACGATCATAGAATTAAGATATCTAATTATACAAGTCATCTTATTATCCTGTAAATAAAGTAGAAGTTATGTATTCATTTCAAATTATAAATAGATTAGATATGACCGTATAATAAGATCTCTTAGCGAGAATAATAGAGAATCATAAGAGAATTATTAGAGAATTCGAAATAAAATTCAAATTCCCTATTTTAACCAATTAGAATTTTACTTATTCTAATGAAATATTATATATAATCATCAATTTGCATAAATGAAAGAAAAATTGAATTTGCTACATGTATAAATCTATAATCTTAAGAGAGTCGAGTCCAGTATCATCTTAATAAAGTCACATCCACTAGTTAGTTAGTTCCACAACTCGGCGCATTATATGAATATTTGCACCTTATCTTCTAATTAATGATATGTATTTCAATTTAAAAACATATTGACAAGAATAGCTGTGTGTGGTACGCATGCGGATCCTATGAATAATTCTCTCATGGGCAGACCACACTTCTATGACTCCATGACCTGGGGACAACTCTCCCTGATGCTGTCAGGAAGCTTCACGTCTGCCTCCATGCCAGTTCTTTCGAGTACATGCAAGTTAACGGGCTTACACTGGACATGGAGGGCACGCAGATCACATTAGCAATCGACTCTTGCTGTTTATCGTTGTCACACAGACCCTGTGCATCCATGGTTAAGACGACCACACCGCCTCATGGGCAGCTCGGGTTTGTCAGAGCATGGTCATTGGCCACCGTTCGACTCGCGAGCTGCCCGAATGGCACCATTTGTGTTTGGTTGCACACCACCCTCTTACGCCGCAACAGACACACCATTGAATCATTAAGCAGGTCCACCGGAGTCTTTCCTGCTTTTTTGTTCAACGCTGGGGTCCAGCTACGTACTGAAGATTCGCATCAATTCGTTGCAGACACGACGAGCATGCATCACCCGGAAGGTCTGCGGATCTCGTGCCGAGGCGCCGCGTGACCCGACTCCACCGCCATCCAGGCAAGCCTGACGGCTGACTTCATATCCGGGATCAATTCTGAAGGCTCAGCTCCACCAAGGCAAGCCACTGACCCACTACGAGATGTTGTGATACTCCAAACATAGTCAAGACTATTGATGCCATCTATATATATATATATGTGTATTAACTTTTTGCTTCTTTGTTGCTACTTGCTTAGATACATACACATACATATATTCCAAACAAGAGGCACCACATGGAGTCAGGCTTGCAGAACTGGCGCGTGGTTGATTGCTTTGTATTGCAAGGGGAAAGGCGAAGGGCATTGCAATGCCGTGTGGTGGGATGCATCTTCCGCAACATCGCACGGCCCTTACCAGGCCAACCAATCCAAGGACGCAAGCTGAAAATGTCTTCTGTACACAGCGCTGTAGGAACCCGATTACGCTGGGATCCATAAGGGTCGCAAGATCTTCAATCAGGTTCCTACGTCAAGATCGGCACAGTATGGTGCCACATGGGCACCAAAGCCAAAAAATGGGAGTTTCAGACAGTATCGAACCCGAATAGAGAACCTTAAATAATAGGATCCTTGTTATAAGGTACTCTGAAGTAGGTACCCCCTAAACCCCATTTTCTGAAACCCCCCAAAAACTGCGCCGAAGCCGGGGTCTTCTTGTCGGCCCACAGCTCCAGCGATCCGGCCGCTGGTGGGCCGGGATGCGAGGTTTCAGGCGGGTTCAACTGGAGATTTAGGCATGTAGGGATGTCAGGGCTTAGGGCGATCTAGGGTAGAGGAATTGGGGGATTCAGGTTGTGCGGGACAGAGTTGACGAAGGATTTGCGGGGCAGGGATGTGGGGTTGAGGGCTTGGGTTCGACATCTTACAAGGTGTCCCAGCACTTCACGTGACTGGGGCTCTTCTTGATGTCCAGCTTCACGTCCTGGGTGGTGCCCGTCATTTTCACCACGATGAAATCGTCCCCATAGTTCGCACCCTTAATCCACTTCTTCTTCCGCTCCCCCCAAAGGGCCGTGACACGAATCCGATAGTCGCAGTACACGGCGCTGCCGCCGAGGGGAAGCCACTTTGCTGGCAGCTGCCACACCCCTGCAGTCCCCACCGGCAGATTGGTACCTTTGGAGGTCGTCTCAGTAAACTTGTCACCGTTCTTGTTGTAGCACTGGGTCTTCAGCTCCACCTTGTCCACCTTATATAGCTTCGACAAGCCGGTCGAACCAAACACAAGGCACCCCCAAATCTCCTACGTACTCCTAGCACGCCAATATACTTTCACAGCCCTACGAACTCGTGTGATCTTGCATCTCTAGCCCAGCCACAGAATAGCCGATGCCTGCCACCGCCATGAAAAAGATATTCCGGTTCACCGTGGCCCCGCTGAAGCCCGGGGGGCGCGTATCGTCGAAGGCGTCGTCGTCGCGGTTCACATACCTGTCGCCCCTCAAAGCAATACAAAGTCAGAAGCCTGCGAACCCTTACTGCCGGTTGCAGACCCAAACCTAAACCCTAAAACCTGAAGCCCTTGGTTAGGGATAGTGGCTGAGTAATTGGAGCCACAGGTACTTGATGTCCAGGTCTCCCCAAGTAGTGCGGAGGCCATCGTCCTTGTCCAAGGAGGCAGAGCCTCGGTTTAGGTCTTCGATGTTTGGAGGTTTTTCTAGGGTTCCAAGGTTTCAGAGTCTTGTGCCTAAGAGATCTTCACCATAAAGGCCTAGAAGGTGTTCAGGAATACGAGCCAGACTTGGGCCAGGAGCCGCAATACCAATGTTGGTAGACGCCGTTGGTCGCACTTCCACCAAGGACCAAGGATTTCGACAGTGACACATTAGACTTGTGCTGCAGCAAGCAGGTGCTGTTGACAGCGCCCGCCCAAGTGCTTCTCACCAGGGTGAAAGCCATGAGCCGCGCCATGGCTGCCATGGGATGAATTTGATATATCAGGTAAGGTCGTGCGCTGACGGCTCGAACACGAACGGCCGAAACATGTCTAGCTCAAGGTGGAAGTTGCCACAAATCATGATAAGGACAATTCGTCCCCACTTCCAACGCATGTCCGTGCATTTTACGTGCGGCTTCTACAAATTTGAGCTTCTCAGGTATGGTTCCCGTGGCTTCTGGGTCTTTTTACAAGATTCGTATGGGGCTTAACATGGGAGTTTCCGAAAACAAGGTCCTTGCCAATAGTAGCATCCGTGCCATGAGCACCCCCAAACAAAAGGCACCCTAAAACTGGAGACAACCATATCGGGCCTTGGGCTCCTCAATTTCGCCCAGAGGTCCTGGAGGGTGGCGACAATGAACAACCTTTAGCTTCTATACCCGAAGAATATGTCGTGGCAACCTGAGGGCATAGAGTTAGCAAGAATAGGACGCGATATAGCAAGCAGGCCTAAATATCGTGCATGGGGGCATGGCTGGCGTCATCTCCCTTGACTCTGCAGACTACCCTGCTCCCAAGCTCGCGCGCCGAGCCCCCCTCACAACCCGACTGCAAACCCAAAGTCCTGTGCCCGAGTTTAGGGTTTAGGCTTTTCTTATCACATGACCAGGTGAATGCAAAGTAATATGGCCTTGGTAGTCGCAACAGAGTACGTAGTACCATCATGTTCCTGCATTCCAGAAGTCTGTTGCTGTTTGCCTGCATATTTCCAAATCGGCTAGATTGCTTTCTGTCGTAGTTAGGCTACCTGGCCCCAACAAATTTGGGAAGCGGCCTCGCCAGAGGCACGAGAGACGGGCGAGGGGTGGATACGAACGAACCAATGGCTGCGCAAACCCATCCTGGCACTGACAGATAGCAGCTAGCATCTCACAGATCGGATCTCGATGGAAGCGTGCTGAAAGTTCACAGTGTTCTCAACTAACAACTGAGCGTTGTGATTGCATGGCTTGTGGCACCATGTAGCTGCTAGCATCTGAAAGGACCTCGAAGCCCCATTCTCGAAGTAGCACGAAGGACCGCCAACAACTTGCGAGACCCGGATACTTGAGAAAATCAGTGCAGCAATGCAACTCCGGCATTTTGCCCGTATTCTCAGAGAGCGCGACGTTACTATGTTACGCCCCTGAACGTTCAGCAAAACAAAACTACAGGGGGAAACGCGAGGCACGTCAAGGGCCTTGTAAAGGTAAATTACCCAGCGCCAACACTACGCGTCGTGCGCTCGGCCTCACTGCCCGTGGCACACCGGCGGCGTGAGGCAAAAGGAGAAAGACACCTCCGCGGTCACCGACACCTGCAGCATCCACAGCGGAAGGCATCAAAGGCAAACCCAGAAACATGGTTCCTCGGCGGGACCGTTCGTGGAAGAGAACGATTATGCAACCACTTCATTCCCCTGAGCACTAAACCCCCAAACCCCAAGCACCACACCCCCAAACCCTTCCAGTGGATTCCTGTTTGCAACCCTTGAGATATACCCCTTATACAAACCCTTCTAAGCTTCATGCCCTTGGCCCCTTGCCGTCTTTGGCCTCCAACTTCACCGGCGGAACCGCCTTGGTTGCGGCCCCGTCCAGGGCCTGCAGAAGTTGATCCTCGGCTTCAGACAGTTAGAGTTGAGGGTTTAGGGTTTAGGGTTAGGTTTTGGGGTTTAGGTTTAGGGTTTAGGGTTTAGGGTTCAGGGTCTAGGACGTAAGCTCCCCTTCTTGAGGAATGGTCCGTCACTCTTGGCAGGGATCCTTCATTCCTTAACAAAGGACCCTTAATCATTACTCAAAGGATGTTCCTTTAGATTTGGCAAGGAATCTTGAGAAGGGATCCTCAACTGCGGGATTTTCCTTAGCCTGCACTAGAATGAGGCATCCTCGGCCCTGATTAACTAACGATACACTTCCTTCTAGGGGTCCTCGTTATAACCATGCTGCATGGTACCCCGAACACCCAACCGACCAAGGGTCCGAACGAGGTAGAACTGCCGTCTCCAACATTCGGTCGAAGTCCTGTCGGTCGATGTAGAGGCTTCTAATTTAGGGGCCCTAATAATTAGAATAGTGGTTTTGGGGACCCATTATAGTAGAAGCCAGAAAGTTGGAACCTGGGTTTGGGAGGATTAGTGATAGGATCCCCTGTACTTTACCTTAAGGGCATGAGGATAATGATGTTCCAACTTTCTGGCTTACGCTCTATACTATAATTATAGATAATTCAAGCTGGGGGTAGCCTATGTTGAGGGTCAACAGAATAGGTAGAGATTCTACATGATCCTACTAGTCTAAGTCCCGTTCCAAAACCCCCAGTACCCCAAAACTACCCGTAACAGAGCCCCTTATGGTCCTGAATAGTGGGTGCTCAGGGGTACGAAGGAAGGTAGTCAGGACATCTAGGCGCACCCCAACCGCAAACCCTGCCCTAAATTACTAAACCCTAAACCCTGGACCCTAAACCCTTTAACATTTTCAGCCACAAGCCCCAAAGCCCAAGAACCCTTCACCGCAGAACAACTTGTCTCGTGCGCCAGGGTCCTTTGACTTGGCCAAGTGGCCGACCGCTGCCATCAATGCTGCGGCCTGAACTCGAATAACTCGTGAGGTTTAGGGGGTCGGGGTTTCAGGCTTCAGGATTGCAAAGTTGAGGGGTGCGAGGCTGCAGGGCTTCGGCTTGCGGTTTTTGGCTTGCTGGTCTACGGTCAGCTACGTCGCAGCCACAGGGCGGGTTAAATGCTTAGGATAGTCTTGTATTTAGATATTTTCAGGTCCTCCATGGTTTTGGTGCTAGCATACGGTACTAGGTGCAGAGGATGTGCGGAAGATGCTATGTTTTGTCTTTCGGGAGTGCCCCCGAAACCCTAAACCAGAGCATCTGGTCTTAGTAGTGAGCCTCCCTGCAGTTCAAGTCTTCGGACCCCAAGACTGCAAAACCTCTAGGTAGCTAAGAGATACAGACCTTAGACCATATCTTGAGTTTCTTAACCTCTAAAACCTAAACTTTACACCCTAAACCCTAAACCCGACACCCCAAATGCGGAAGCCCTACACCCGGCAATCCCAAACCCTAAACTGGACGAAAGGGTGCCTAGGGCACTGAAAGGGGTAGGGCTTTTAGGGGTTAGGGTTTAGGGTTTGATCCTTCCTTCTTGGGGTCTTTCCATCCCGCCTCGGTCGCGGAAGCGCCTTGGGAAAGTGCGTGTGCCTTCGTTCGCTGTGCCGACTCCTGGACATGAAGGGGGCGAAACTCTCCGGGGACCGGGGGGGCGGGCTTTTGGGGTCTGTTTGTTTGGTTGTGGGGCTTTAGGGTTAGGAAATAGGGCTTTGAATAGGGAGACCATACCACTTGATCGACAAACACATCAAAAACGAGGCAGGATGTATTTTTATGAGTCGAGTCAAGAAGCATTCCTTAAACTGAGGGGCAACGGAATCTCTAGAGACTCCGGTCCGAGTCGGCCTTTCAGGATATCCGGCAGTCGCCTGCGATTCTATTCTGGCCTTTTGGGATTTCGGATGTGTTTACCCGTCGCTGAATAACCGCCCTGACTTAAAGCAGCAGCTGAGCTCAAAAACACGACACCCCGTCACTGTCAACCGGTGAACCTTGAGCCCAGCACACAAGCGCGTCCTGCATCTGAGACAACAACGATGCTTGAGCTTCCTCACCGGCAGAGTCCGTGGAGAGCGACAGCGTGAAACTGTATCCTCGGTTGTATCGGATCTTCTTTCAAGCCACCTCGCAAACCTCGACACACCCACACTGAACCCGAACCCTCAAATCCTAAAACCAGGATCAAAACCCCTCAACTGCTCCACCGTACTCGCCAAATCCGAAGCCCTTTATACCCGAAACATGCGTACGTACGTACGTACGTATGTATGTATGTATGTATGTACGTATGTATGTACATATGTATGTACGCATGTATTTACGTATGTATGTATGTATGTATGTATGTATGTATGCATGCATGCATGTATGTATGTATGTATGTCGTAGCTGTACTATCACATACCTATAACGTCGTAATGATATCTCGGCCTCGTGCCACCGTCGGATCCGGCAAGAAGGTGACGCCCACTTCGCCGCCGACCTGTGAAACGCCTTCCAGGTCGTCCGGTGCGTAGGGGTTGCTCCAGACTGTTTGGGGTCTTGGGGTTTGGGGTTTCGAGCCTTATGGCTGTAGCGTTTAGGGTAGAAGCCAGAAGGTGTGCCCTTCAAGTAGTGCATCACGGCTCCCAGCGCCAACCGCCAACCAATCGGAGTTCACCGTGCTCATTTTGAGACTAGCTCGCCTTCTAGCTTCAATTCAGATTGCTTCCTCTCCAAGATTCTCTGGGCTTAGATCCTAAACCCTAAACTCTTTTCAGGCCTTCGAGCTCTCCGGCCAAAGCCACATCCATGGAGCCCGCGACGCCCCAACGTGGCTCGCTGGCAGGCAAGAAGGCCGGATACTCCTGGAGACTTCGCGAGACGGGCTCCGAGTTTAGGCCTTAGGGTTTAGGGTTTAGGCTTTAGGGTTGAGGGTTTAGGGGTTTAGGGGTTTGGGGTTTGAGCTTCAGAGCTTCTGGGCTTTCATGGGAGACCACTGTGCCAAAACAGCAAGGCAGCCCCTCCCCTAATGCACCAGTACAAACATGTGCCAAGAGAGCAACGCTAGAAAAAGGAGCCTGGAGCCGAAATCACACTGGCTCTTATACATCCCCCAGTAGTAAGACCCATGTTCAAAGCCCCAATTAATTAAGAACCAGGGCAGTCTTTGCCGGTTTCCCTCATTACCCCAAAATAGACACACTGTACCCTACCTTAAGAAACGCCCGAAAGATCCCTACGTCACTTTGCTCCTTTCTCTAAGGACGTAGCCCTGAGTCTAAGGCTCACAACTAATATTCTAAAGAGCGAAACCCTAAAGCCCCTTCAAAACGGTTTTGGGGTTGGCGACACTCAGAGGTTGCACATTATCTCATATATATATATATACACACACATACATACATACATACATACATACATACATACATACACTGTGGCGGGAAAGCGCGACTGCAGATTGTGGTCCCGCATAATTAGCGCCGGGTATGCGCGAGTATGCGCGAGTATGCCTGAGTATGCGCGGGTATGCGCGAGTATGCGCGGGTATGCGTGAGTATTCGCGAGTATGCGCGTGTATGCACGAGTATGCGCGGGTATGAAAGAGTATGCGCGAGCATGCGCAGGTATGTGCGAGTATGCGGGAGTGTGCGCGAGTGTGCGCGGGTATGCGCGGGTATGCGCGAGTATGCGCGGGTATGTGCGAGTATGAACGTGTATGCGCGAGTATTGTATAGGTACGAGCGAGTATGCGCGGGTATGCAAGAGTATTGTAGTAACTGTATAGTCCATAGTACATGAGATACTGTATACTGCTGCTATACATTGTAGTGCTACTCGGGCGTAATCGAGCATATTGGAGCATACTCGAGCATACTCGAGCATACTCGAGCGTACTCGAGCGTACTCGAGCTCGGAGTGCAGCCGCCCATCGCATCCGCAATACATACATACATACATACATACATAAAACAGCATGTATGTATGTATGTATGTATGTATGTATGTGTGTATGCATATATATATATATATACATACATACATACATACATACATACATACATATATACGTATACATATATATATATGAGTGATATATATATATATAACAGGTCCTCCTTGAAGTCGAAGTCCAGGGAGAATCCGGCCTCGGGCTCCTTCTTCTCCAAGGCCGACTCATAGAAGGAGGTTGCGCCGAACTCGATGTCCATTACCTGTGGCTCAGGTTCTCGGCAACAGGGTTTAGGATTTCGGGTTTAGGGTCCTCAACTTCCGAGCTCTTCTGATTGAAAGGTATTTTGCTAGGATTATGACGCTGGTACATCACATGCCTTCTGGTAACTTGCATAACCTTAACCTAGCTTCCATAAGAAGAACCCAGTTACAAGGTTCGGGAGCACCACGGCCCCATCCTTCTCTCCAAAGAGAAGGCCGACGCACAGGGAAAAAGAGAAGGCGACGAAGGTCCAGTCAAAGCACGTCGAAACCTGTAGGCCCCAAGTGCTCCTTGACAGTTCCGGTGGATACGGGTAGAAATTATAGGGTTTGTCGTATTTACAGTTTATGCCTTTGGGGTTTAGTTTGGGGTTATTCAAGCTGTCACAGTAGAACCCAGAAAGCTTCAATGTTGGCTATTGGAGAGCTAAGGCTCTTGGGAATCACGCTGGGCTTGAAGCACTGGCATTCCTTAGCTTGACCCGGGTCGGGGTCACCGAGGACGCTCGTGCCGCACTGGATATCTCCGGTGGCCATGCTCGTGCTCCACTTGTCGCCTTGAGGGACATTCGCAGACTAAAGCCGACTCCCAAAGCAGCGAAACCCTAGAAGCTGAGGTACCGTACCGTCCTTCTACACGGTTTAGGCCTTAGGGTTTAGGGTTCAGGGCCCCGCTGTACGAGGAGCCCCCACTATGTGCGCAGCTGCGCTGCTAGACAAACCTAAAGGAAACGGATACCAACGTTTTCGGAGTTGCCATAGCCAAAACGGACCTGGCCAGTGCAATTGCCTGGGTTGCATTTAAGTTACCACCATCGGGATATACAGTAGATACTAGGGTAACCCTAAACCCCTAAACCCCTAAGCCCTAAACCCTAAACCCCTAAACCCTAAGCCCCTAAGCCCCCAAACCCCTAAACCCCTAAATCCTCAATCCAGCTGCAGGTGGATGAGCTTGTGCAGCTCGGGAAAGTGGGGTGAGCCACATTCGCGCAAGCACAGCGTTCCCAGGAGCCTTGCTCCACCTGGGCAGTTTTCGAAAGCAGGGTCCCTTTTAGGATCCCTTTTAGAATCAGGGTGCCGGGAAGTTTTAGGGCACCGAAAAAGGGGCCCTAGTGTAGAGAACTAGGGGGGTTTAGGGCTCTAGGGGTTGAGGGTGTAGGGAGGGGTTTAGGTTTAGGGTTCAGGGTTCGGGTTCAGGGTTCGGGGTTTGGGGCTTAAGGTTTAGGGGTTTATGGGCTTCAGCAGTCTAGGGTTTAGGGCTCAGGGCGTTTCGGGCTCAGAGCGTTTGGGGTTGAGGGTTCTTTGGGTTCAGGGTTTACTTCTTCCTCGGTATGGTGAAGCTTGGAAATCGGCCCCTTGAGCCTTCCTCAGCATCCTGCAGTGCGGCCCCAAAATTTCAGGAGAAGCATAACGGAACGTCTTGAGACGATCCTGAACCTAAACTTGAAACCCTAAGTAAGCCCTAAAACCCCCAAACCCTTCAGCTCCTGAACACCCCAAATACCCCCCGAAACCCCCGCCTTGGGCGCGAAGCACTGGCATTCCTTCCCCTGAGATCTGAAGGGATCACCGAACACCGAGTTGGAGCACTGGATGCTGCCCGAAGCCGTCAGAGTGTACCTGGACCAGGATTCACGTACTAGGGGTTTAGAGGTCTAAAGTTTTTAGAGTTCAGGGTTTGGGAGTTTGTATAGGACTCTCAGATATCAGAGAAGCTCTTCAATGGATAACCCATTGATACTAAACGAGCAAGGGTTCGTAGCATAGACGACGGGGATTACAGCGGGATTCAAAGCGGGTACAACGTTGAAGATCTCAATATATCTCAATACTGTCCATGAGCTCTAAGAGAGCCCAATACCATCCTACGAATGAACTCCGATGCCCAAAGAGCCCAATGCTCCCTTAATTCGCCTCGGTTTTGGTCGAAGGTTCCGATCCTTCTCCCCCTAAACCAAACCCTAAACCCTAATCCCTTGCTCCCCACCCTAAGCCCCGAATCCTTTGTTCCCCACCCATAACCATGGACCGTGGCCAGACCCTCCGGAAGAGGCGGACGACGAGCAGCCTTTACAAGTAAGGGACCTCCCTTGGAAACACGGTAGAATTTGAGGTATATTATCGGTACTTACGAGTATCCTACCCTCTGGAAACTATAACTCCGTGAGCTTCTGGCGTCGGAAGAACGAAACTGAAGTCCATCCAATCTTAAACCCCCCAAAAAAGGGCCGAAACCCTAGCCTAAACCTTATGTATATCCGCATCCCAGGAGCCACTGGTTCCCGTAGCCGTACCGTACCTGTCCATTGCACTGGCAGGTGCTCCCCAGCATACACGTGGGGTTGGTGGAGTGATAAGCCTGTTCGCAAGCACAGCGGTGCCATACACCTTGGATCGAATCAGGTTCTATTAGGGTTTAGGGGTTTAGGGGTTTCGGGGTTTAGGGTTTAGGGTTTAGGGGTAGCTATTGGGGGCCAGGCTCCAGGGTAGAAACATCCACAGCTATGCTTTCGGAGATCTCTGGTCTAGAACCAAGGAACTAGACACGTATCAAACTGACGTTCCTCCAGGCTGGGAGGTTTATGGAGCGTACTTCGTTGGATAAAGCTTTCGGCGCACCTGGTCTACCGTAGGTTCTACTGTCTCTTCTGCCACAATGTGCTCCCAAAAACAAAAAACTTTACGTCCAGTTGTCTCCAAGGCACCAGAGGAGGCATTTCCCCCGGTCTGGGCAAGGGCGAGCTGTCGTTGTGCGTTCCTCCGAAGCTTCATCTGCTGCCCGATCCTTATCGGACTTGTCGTGCTTCGGACCCCCAAAAACAGTAAACCGCCTAAACCCTAAATAAAGATGCGTATATTCACGTCCATATCTCTCCGTGTACGGTGTAGATTTAGCTAAGTAGTGCCTACAGCTACGGTTAGACTTAAATCTATTTTCTGTGTTTACACTTATCTGTTTATGTACTCTACACGGCGAAGCATTTATGTATACAAATGCGGCTGTCTGCTCAGAGTGCTTTATGACTGTATAGGTCTTCGTTCGCACGTCGTTGTAGCTGCACAGTTCCATACTCACCTCACACATTCACCTACTCGTTCAACTTATCAGTCCGTGCGTGCATGCGTGCGTGCTTGCGTGCCTGCCGGCCTGCGTGCCTGCCTGCTGTGCAAGAAAACGACGCTGTCTGTGCCCAGGTTCCCGGAATGGCCAGCATTCCACATCAACACAAGAATGGGTATCCGAGATCTATTGTAAATCTCCCGGTCGTCAGCAAAGGGCTCTCTATGAAGTACATGGGCCGCCCCAAATCTCGCACGGCCTTCCGCTGCATGCCAGTTTTAGCGTTGTAAAAGACATGCATGCCATGCCCTCCAAGTGCTGAGTGGTGTCGCTGTCGGCACCCCTGGCCTCGTCCGCGTGCTTACTTGTGTGGGTGCGTGGGTCTGTGGGTGCGCGTGCGCGTGGGTTCGCTGGTGCACGTGCGCGTGCATGTGGGTGTGGAAGTGTGGGCATAGGTGTGGATGTGGGTGCGGGTGGGATTTGAATCTCAGGGACTCACTCGTGTGCTTTCTTTCCTTCGCTTTAAACCCTAAAATACCAAAAACAATTAGATCTGTCTCGCAAAACGACCCCAATCAAGGCACGTCTAATCGTGGGAAACCCCAAGCACGTAAACCCTCTGAAGCTGCTGCTCAACCGTACAGTTGTGAGGAGCCCAAGGCTGTCTTCTCCAAGTGTCTGCATCAGGTCCAACCCCGAAGAGCTCACCAAGCCTTGCACCTGCGGGGTTCTGTAGGGTTTAGGGTTTGGGGCATTTTGGGGTTTAGGGCTCTGTTATCAAGGCTTTTTCGGTTGTTTTTTTCGGGTTTCGGGGGATTCTGCAGGGCTTGCTGAACGAGTATGCAGTTCTTAGAAGAGGGTCGTTAGGGCTAGAGTCACAAAGCGTGGGGCTAGAGTCACAAAGCGTTATGAAGGCTGAAGGCTTTATCGGCTTTAGAAAGTCCTACAAGGGGTTTATACGGGGTCATAGTATGGTATCCTGAAAGCAGTTCCTTAACAAGAACGAGCCTTCGCGGCGATGGTTTCGAAGTGGCTGACGAGACTGGTCGCGCCGTTGGCACCAAACTTGAAGATGCCGAGGATGTACTCGACGGGGGTCTGCACCTCCGTGGGAAGGCAGAACTCCTGAACGCGGAAATCGAGAAAGGGAGTCGGAAAGTTGAAGGTGCCAGTCCTGGGTACTCCCAATATAGCCACGGAAGCAAAAGTTTCACTTCTCAGAATTTTACTAACTTATGACCTCGAAGTGTCCAAAGAGTTCAAAAGGCTCCATTTCTGAAACTCAGCCTTAGACCCCTAGGAGAAAACCCATACAACTCCTATAAGGCGCTTCTCACACGCGTATTGCGGGACCATGAGTCTTCATCGTGCACTCACGGAGCCGGTCCACAGCACCACCCCAGTTGGAGTCTGCAGCAGAGGGGCTTGAGAAGATGTTCCCGAACTTGTCGAAGAAGCCACAGTCCGTGGGAACATAATACCAAAACCCCACATCTGAGGGAGGCACAAGCTTTTCGGGATTCTAAGGGTTTAGGGCTTCGGGGTTTAGGGTTTAGGGGTTTAGGGTCTGTAGGGGTTTACGGGCTTAGGGTTTAGGGTTTCGGGATTGCTTTGACAAAAAACCACTAAGGAAATGCTGGAAATGCTCTTTGAACTGCATATAGGGTCTTATGTAAGGATCCCGCTCGTACGGTCTGTACTCGGAGGCGCCTGTTGGTGTACAGACCTTCCCGAGGTCATGCTTCTGAAAGCTGCCGAAGACACCGTTGAGGAGTTCTGAGCCAACGATGCAGCTTTGTGTCCACTTTAGCAAAAAGCTACGGTAGACGAAGACCCTCGGAAACTATTTGGTAAGCCAGGGCTTAGGGTTCCACAAGCGCCGCCGAGAGACCCCGAACCTCCGAGGTAGCTGTGTCCAAGCCGTCCAGGAGGCTGCCGGCACTCTGCTTGGCCCTGGCCTCTGTCCACTGCGGAGGGTTTGGGTTTAGGGTCTTAGCTGAGGACTAGGGTTAAAGGTTAGGATTAAGGGTGCAACATAAGGTGTATGATTGCTCATTTGAGGGCCCTTTTCCAATTGCACTGCGTAGCTGAAACTCCCCACCGAGAGTTTGTGGTTTTCGGGATTTGGATTCAAGGCTTAAGATTGTGGGTAGCAAACTCCCAAGTCCCCCTTCGCCTGAACACGGGCAGCCAAGTTGCGACAAGAGTAGGCGCCACGTCACCAAATTGCTCCGTGCCACTTCTCATCAGGTTGAGAATACCTTGTAAGAGGTCAGTCAATTCAAGTGCTAAGTTGCCCGGATTGTCACGATGTCAGGTTGCCACAGCAGTGGTCGAAGCACTAGCATATGTCGTTGTGGTCGTCCTCTTCATCGTCGCCACCGTCGTTGTCGTCGTGGTGGTCGTACTGGTGGTGGTGGGGCAGTGGTGCTGGGTGTGGCGGTGGGAGTCGTCGGCGTCGGTAGTGCTAGTAGGGTAGTCGTCGTCATCGTCGTAGCAGCAGTGGCAGTGGCAGTGGCCGGCAGTACCAGTACCAGCAAGTACCAGTACCAGCAGCAGCAGTACGAGTTGGAGTATGAGTAGGAGGAGCAGGAGGAGGAGCAAGAGGAGGAGTAGGAGTAGGAAGAGGAGGAGGACTAGTAGGAGTAGGAGCAGGAGTAGGAGTAGGAGAAGGAGCAGGAGTAGGAGCAGGAGCAGGAATAGGAGTGGGAGTCGGAGTAGGAGTGGAAAAAGTTGATAAAAGTGATAACATTAATAGTAAACCAGTAAATGTTATGGAAAAAGTAATGAAAGTAGTGGTAGTAGTCGTCGTCGTCGCCGTAGTCGTAGTGGTAGTCGTAGTCGTAGTAGTGGTAGCAGTAGAAGCAGTAGCAGCAGTAGCAGCAGGAGCAGCAGTCGTCGTCGTAGTCGT